CTGGGGCATCCTTGGCCACAGGGACCTCCACTTCAGTTGGGGCCACCTTAGCCCTCTTGGCCCCAGACTCATCTGCGGCTTCCTCTGGGGCACTCCTCTTCTTCTTTTTCTTTTTCAGAGCCTCTCTCTCCTTTCTGGCCTGTTCTTTTACAGGGTCTACAGGGGGCGGCCGCGGCTCAAAACTGCTTAAGTTTTTTCCCCCCAACGACCTTGGGCCCGGTCGGATTCTCTCCCGCGCGATCGGTTGAGGCGGTCGGTTTCCTCGCGCTTCCTTCAACTTCGTGGCCTTGGCCAGAACGGCCTGATCCTCTACCTCCTGATCTTTTCTCCTCGCCTCCAATTCTGCTCGGTCGAGGTCCCCACCCTTCGGCTGCGGTCCTAGCCCCGCCTCAAACAATGCAGATGGTTGAACAAGCTCGTCCCATTTGGCCTTCTCTCTCTCTCTCTCAACTCCTTCACTCTCTTCACCCTCTCTTCCGCCATTGCCCCCAGTCTGGACTCCATCGACCTAGTTGGCACCTTCCAGATGGTGCGCACCCCCACTCCCCCATTAGCAGGCATGTAGAACCACCGTGGCCGCCACCCCTTGATCGATGTCGGCAGCCCCGCCACCAATCCCCTCCCCATCACTGCCTGTAGGGTGACCCAAGTTTCTTGCTGCCCCGACGCCTTGTAACACGAAAAGAACTCGTCTACCGTCATGGCCTCCCCTCTATTCGCTTTGGGCCACGCACTCGCACAGGCCAGTAGAATCTTCCATGCATTGGGCATCAATTGCCCCGACGCTACCTCCAGGCGATTCAGCACGTCAACCACCACTTGGGGCAGTGGCAACCTCAGCCCACCTTTTAGCGCCTCCTCGTACAGAGAAAACTCCCCTAGCCTAGCAGTAGACGGCCTTTCCTTTGATGTTGGCAGCAATAACTCCACCTCCGCCGGAATCTGGAATCGTTCCCTGATAACCTCCAAATCCGCCGCTGTGAGTGTGGATTTGTCCGCCTTAGTGTGCCACTGATCTGGCTCTACCTGGCTTAGTGGCTTTGGAGCCAATATCAGGGCCGACGCCTGCGATTCTCCCACCGGTTCCCCCACCCCCGCCTCCACCATCCGTGTCTCCGTCCTATATCGCGTTGCTAACTCCTCCGCATCATCGTCTCCCAGCGGGTCCACCCTCACATCGACTACTTCTTCTTGTGCCATTTCTAGGGTTTGCTTACAAATCACTTCTGACGCAGGAGCAAGGAAGTTGAGAAAATGTTACACAGGTGTGTCGTACGCAATGAAGGAATTAACACTTAGATATTTTGAGTTTTTGTAAAAAGGTAGGTGAAGCGCATTATACCAAAAACCCACGGTTTACCCGTATTCCATGGATCCACATTAATTTTCGCCCGTTTCAAAACCTTTCAAATCAACCGCTAAAACCGCCTTTTCAAAACCCCCTCGTGACCTATCGTTTCATTTCTGCTCCAACGCTTCACTTCCCCCACGATATTGCCACGTGTATGGCCACGATGCACTGTCCCCTCCCCTTACCCTGTCCTTTCCATTTCAAATCATCACATGGCCCCACCCTACCCCCTCTCTTTTTGAGCCCCGCGCCGTCCTGGTCGGCACGCCTCACGGTCGACCCCTCCCGTTCGGCCACCCTCGCGGTCGGCATGCCTCTCGGTCGACCCCTCCCGCTCGGCCACCCTCACGGTCAGCTTCTCCCGTTCAGTTACCCTTGCGGTCGGCACGGCTTCACTTCTCTTCCTTATTACTATTCCCTTCGTTGGGCTAAAGCTGCACTCGGCAATGGGGGACTACTGACATGGATAGGCCCACAAGGCATACGGCCCACAGCAAACCACCCCAAACCCATTGCTTGGGATCAATAGCATAGCCCGGTTGGCAAAGCCCAGGACAGCTGGAGGCCATCTAGACATGGGGGGCCAATGGCATTCGGGCACATGGCAGGTGGAACACAGGCCACATTAGCAGACAAAGATCTGCAGAGTTATTACCACAACACATCACCATTAATGCAGCCCATCACAGCATTTATTACGACAACACCTCCCCGTCGGAATAGAGCCCCCTCACCCTGAACAAGGTAAGCTACGGCACAGGCTTTCGGCGGAAGGGGGCACGTCACAAAGGAAAGTGAAATGATTACCAAAGGATATAAGTAAGAATAGAAAGACAAGAGAAAGGTTAAGCTTTTTGTCTGTCTCTCTCTCTTTCTCTACATTCCTCCTTCCCCTACTAATTCTCTCGCCGGAGGGTTCACTGGGGGACTGCCCCGTTCCCCTTTGGACTTGCTTGCAGGTCATTTGACGGAATCATCACCTTGAACCGGAACCTGAAGAACTTGGACCAGCCCGACCCATCCACCCGGGACGGACAACATTATCAATAATAATAATAATAGGGCCATTTGGGAACTTTATAAAATAATTTAAAAACCAAAAAGTCATTAAAAAAGTTTAAAAAATTAACACATACAAAAAAAATCGAAGATTCTTTTCGATTCACTATACTTTTTACATGTATTTTTGTAAAAAATAAAAAAAATTGTAAAAATTTAAAAATCATTCTAAACATATTAATTTTTTTTGACTCATATTTTAACAAGAAGATCAAAAAATTACTAAAAAATTTTATTCCCAAACCACCCTTAAATATAAATAAAAATCTTTGGAGTATGCATTTGCCTGTGACAAGGGGTGATAGCAACAGGATAGCGGTGGATAAACGTGGAGTCGGGGTCGGGCTAGGCCAACATTGTATAATAAGTGTGTTTATCTATTTGTTTAAGTTCGGTTTAAAAAATAATTATAAATCCTAAGCCGATCTCATTGGATTATATTAAAAAAAATTAAATCATTCTATAATTAAATTCAATCGCACATTATACTTCTTAAATAAATATATTAATATCATTAAAAATTAAAAATTTTATTAAATAAATTTAATCACATATCATCATGATTTTTAATAAAATCAATAAAAATAAAATTTAAATTAATATATATATATATTTTAAATAAATAAATAAATAATTTAATAACGAAACCCAATCAAGAGTTGAAATATAGGTTTCGTTTGGGAAGTTGCTATTTTAGTAGGCTATTTTAGTTTTTGGCTATTTTAATAGGCTAAAATTTTTATATTTGAGAAGATGATTGGATTTTTTTATAGTTGCATGTGATGTTTGTGAGAGAAAAAGTGAAATGATTATGGGTTTAATATGATATTTTGTCTTATTAGCTATTTTAGCCTATTTTATCTTTTTTTAATTTTTAGCCTAAATTAGGCTATTTTTTTTTTCTTTCCAAACACACCATAAACTCCAATCAAGAGTTAAAATATAAAATTCAAATTCAATCTATTAATATTTTCAATAAAAAATATTAGTCTAACTAGAAGCTATAACACCTTTCAAATTCCTAAAAGATAGGATCGGGCTGGGCGGGCCACTACCGATGAGCACCCTAAAGCAGGACTCAGTCAAGGGAGCAAATGAATACGGGCAGGTTCCTATCGAGTCCGGATCGTCTGTCGTGATTCACTGCCACGGTTCCTGCAGTCTCACAAAACGACGTCGATTTGGGGTAAAATTTATCAAAAAATGAAAATAAAAATAAAAATTAGGGAAGAAGAAGAAGAAGACAGAGAGAACGGAGAAGAAACTTCTCCGGCACACTCTCCGGCGACTCACACCACCGTGACCCCTACTCTTCGACGCCCCTCTCTGACCCCCACAGCACCACTGTCGCAAACCCACTCATCCTCCTCCTTGTGTTCTTCTTTCTCTTCTGATTGAGGAGGTTGGTTGCGGTGGCGGTTGCTAGGAAGGAGGAGCGCACAAACACTATTTTCTTTTCAAAATCTTAGAAAGCATCACTGCGTGTACAAATCCCACCTTGAAACCAAAACCCTCACTATGTGCTTACAGTAAAAGTTCAATTGAATTTCATTTTCATAATTTTTAGCCATTATTGACTTCATAAATCTTTTTCAAACTTCAAATCTTCAATCCTCAAACTTTTTTTTGTTAATTATAATTATATTTCAATACTTCACTCATCAAATACATAGTGAATATAACCTTATTTGTTGGACTCTTTCTGAAATATTATCCATTCTAAGGGCTATGAGAAGTGTGCAAATGGGTCTCTGTTTTTGGGTTTTGAATATGGGTTTGGATTTGGTGGGTGGAGAGGTAGTGATGGGTTGGGTTCTTGCGATCCAAGTCTGTAGAGGTTGAATGATCTTAGACGATGAAGAATAAAAGAAAAAGAAAAAAGAGACTCAGATCGTAAACCCGTATTCAAAACCATCTGGGTTCGGATCTGAGTCTGTTGAGGGAAGGGTTGAGTTCGTGGAGGTGGACTGCGGATAAGGGTGGGCGGAGGTGGGTTGCGGCGGCGAGGTGGTGGCGCGCCGGTGGATGTATGGAGGGAGGGATTGCCGGAGAGGCGGTGTCGGCGAGATGGTATGGCCTTTCAGTTTTTCATTATTATTATTTATTTTTTTTGCCGTAAATTTTGCCCTAAAACGACATAGTTTTGGACCTTGCAGAAACAATGGCAGAAAACCATAGCAGAGGATCAGACTCGGTTGCTATCTGGTTGACTTTAATGTGATTAGGTGAGTATGTGGTTCAGCTTGGAGGTGTCACTATCAGGTGTCCAAGGTCTGTTTCAATCTCTACTTGTTCAGATTGATCATGCAGATATGTATGCTTTACTTGTTTTGTCCAAAATTTAGATATTTTTGTAAATGGGTCTTTGAATTTTTTTTCATTGTAAAACCCTACAGGGGTACAAAAGGATGATAGTGTGTTCTTCTTAATTAGAGTTTTTCTCAGTTAGGGTTTATGAATATTTTGGATGCAACCTTTTTATATGGCAATGTTTCTATATTTATTTGTTTCCCCTGTTTCACATACTGCAATGGATTTTCTTGGTTGGTGGTGTTACACACACCAATTAGTATACCAATATGTTATTCTCATTTTAAAACTACGACCCACCTATTATATAAATTACAAAGATTCAAAATTTCTAAAATTATGCCACATCATCCATTAATATACTAATTAGTATACCAATCGGTGCATATAGCATTATACTTTGGATCATTGAATCTTTATTGGAATGTATATTGTATAGTTCATCCCAAATTAAGAAGTTTATTTACTAGGTTTTCAATGCTATGTTTGGATCACGGATTTGATTTGCGGATTGGAAAGAAAAGGGAAGGAAAATGTGAAATAAAATTGAGATGATCTCCTCTCCATACTCATCTATACCCCTATTGTGGCCCAAATTCATACCCGTATGTATGTTCTGAACCGTCTACCTTGTAGATTCTGCAAAATTGAGATGATCTCCTCTCCATACTCATCTATACCCCTATTGTGGGCCCAAATTAATACCCATATGCATGTTCTGAGCCGTCTACCTTGTAGATCTTGCAAAGGTTATGAAAAAAATTAATTTTGTCGGACATTTATAAACACACGAACCAGTCACATTTTGTTTTACAAAATGAAAGACAAATATAATTGTAAACTTAAACCATCCATTTTATAAAACAAAATGCGATTGTTCCTATATTTATAGTTGTTTGATAAAGCTGATTTTTTGCATAGATAATCTTGATTGCGAGGCCTATGAAGTAGATGGTTCGAATCATTTGTGTCTGCCTGGTTAGAGCCCGCAAGAGGGATATGGACATGTATGAAGAGATGAAATATGGAGGGGAGCTTATCCAAATAAAATTAGTTTATATTTTATTCATAATTTTCTCTCCATTTACTTTCCCTAAACAAATCACTATCTAAATTCATGATTCAAATACAGCCTAAAGATTTGTGGATAATGTACGCACCCAAAAGAATATGCAGAAAATAAAGTGTATGATGTAGATTCAAACTTAGATTGAATCTTGTTAGCACATTTCATTTCCGGGGTAGTTATTCTAGGTGCATGGTATTACTGAAATGTTTGGTGTGATTCTTCTTTACTGATCAATGTTGAGAACTGGATTGATCATGGAAAAGGAGAATTGAGCTAAGCAGTGTAATCCTGAATGTGATGCTGTTGTGTTCTATGTTATTTTGGGAGAGAAGTGGCAGAATGTGGACATTCATTGAAAGACCTTTGTAAGAGAGGATAGCTTTGAAGCTAATTAAAATTGCTTAATTACATTCGGTGAGAAGGTGATAAATTTGAAGCTGCACATTTATTTTTACTGAGAAGGTATGCACCTTTATGGTTACTGAGATGTCATTGAAACTACAAACCACATAGCTAGTGGGATTTTGTGTCATGTTGGCAAAGAGGCCAAAGTTTGGGCTTCTTATCAGTCAAAAAAGAAAATTACTGGAGTATGTAATCAATACAAAAGGTTAATGTAAGTAAGAGTACAAAATATGTTCAAGATGAAGAAGAAAAAGAAGAATTGAAGCATATAATCAATACGAAAAAAGACGCAAATCGGTATATAATAGATGGTCCAAGAGGTATATTATGTCTATATAACTATCTTGATATATACACTTCACCTCTCATTTACCAACTCACTTTACATTTACGATCCCTTAAAATGTCTTTAGCATGTTGTGATTATCAGAATATACGGTTGGCAGCTTGTTTGAATGCTTGAAAGAAAATGACCCAAGAGTAAAATAATTCCTTGGAAATAAATTCCTTAAAAGAAGGGCTTAATGACTAATCTAATTAAAAATCAACTTGTGCATGCATGGCCCATTGAATTGCAAAAAATGCCTTAAAATCTTTCATTTTCTTGAAAAAGACTCATATATCGAAAGCATACCAAGACTAGTAGATTCATCTTGCTAAATCTTTATAATTAAAATTAGTTCATGTTGTTGACTTTGGAGCCAACAATTAAACCAATAAGCCCACCTGGCTGTTTTTGTTTCCTTTCTTTTTTCTCTTTTTTTTTGTCTTCTTCTTCTTATATGGTCAAAAATAGGCCTGGTGTATAGGAGTTGCATTGTAATTAACAGAACCACTAAATGTATATCTATCAGCTTTCATAGTGTTTTTGGGATATATTAGATATATTTAGTTGGAAAATTTGAGGATGAGCGACATGCTATTGTATTGTAGCCATGTGCATGTTGAATACATTTAGTGAGTATATGGGTATCATGGAAAAAACTCTCTTGAAGCGTTCTAATAATGAATGAAAGAAGAGTGGTTTCGAAGTAGTTCAATGTAATTCAGTTAGTTCAAGAGTCTATATGGTTTTTTCTTGAATAATGGGATCAAGAATTCAGGTCTGTTTGCTGGTTATTTCCGTCCAAATTTTTCTCGTAGCAGCGCAGATGAATAATCTGGACTGTAAGTTCAGCTCTTGTGTCCAAGTTTTTAGTTTATTGATGTCACTAGTTATATAAGTTCTTAGTTTTTTGTGCTTTGATTAATACAAACAAGAATACAAACCTGCTTGTTAGATAATGCATACTCCAGAAACGCATAAATAATTTGTGCACTGAATTTGTGATGGCATATGCTAGACCTCTTTTTAGTTTCTTTCTCTTCACACCACACCTTATTTACTATAGAGGTGATTTCTGATAAAAGGCGAAGAAAGAAAATGAATATATAAATATATATATATATATATTTTGTCTTTTGTTGTTTTTGAGTGGTTTTCACTTTAGATTCCAAATGTTTGAGATTCAAAGTTTGAGTACAGTTTTTCCCATAAGGCTTTCAGCATGCAAAGGACTAGATCTTTGTACATCCCAGGAAAAAACTCTACGATATAAAGCTATAGATCAAATCTCTAGAATACATAGTTGCATATCTGCTATGTGTTAATTGCTTTCCAAAGTGAATTTTGTTTGATCAACTACCATGTTTATCTGGTTTAGCAACAAGTTTTCAATCTGCATACTGTTTTGTGGTCACTCAGAAGCAAGCCTTGGATGTTTCTTTAACTGAAGTATCAAATGGTCGTGATTATTTAGAAATGGCCAAGATAGTACCTTGAACTAGAAAGTACTTAGTCAAACAAAATATGAGAAGACGAGTACTTATAGTTGTTCCTTTTGTTTTTGGATTACTGGCCACTGTTGGGTTCTCATGTTCCATGCATTGGTTTTCCTTAATCCTCATAAAAATTTTGGGTAAATTTAATTTATGTCCGATGCAGTTGCTGCTCTAAACGCTCTCAAAGAAATCTGGAAGAACACACCACTCAATTGGGTTGGATCGGATCCATGTGGCAACGGTTGGGAAGGAATTCATTGCACCAATTCACGTGTGACATCTATGTAAGTCCCTGTTGTGTTTTACCTTTAATGCTTATGGAGAGTTGCTTATTCTACTTTTTGAGAATTAAGAGGTTAACTATAAGTTTCAATTCCAGAACATTAGCCAGCATGGGATTGACTGGTCAGCTGTCCGGAGACATTCAAGGGTTGTCTGAATTACAGACTTTGTAGGTCTTCTATTTGCGCTATCCCTATTCTCTCGTGAATAGATCCAGTTCCAATTAACTTTGCTGAGAATCATTCAGTTAGTGTTATTCATTCAGGACCAATGGGAAAACCTTCATTCTGTGTGAGGTGCTAATGGGAAATTTGCCCCTTGCTCTATATAATTGAACAGTGCTTCTCCTAGGCTCTATCTAATACATATTGAGTAGTGGACTACTATGGCCGTTTGATAACACTTCCGTTTCCTGTTTTATGCAATTGTTTTCATTTTTTTTTGGAAACTCGAAATGAAAACTTGTTTGGTATATGGTTTTCATTTTCAGAAAAATGGAAATGATTCCAAAATTTTTGGAAACGGAAAAACGGTGTTTTCAATTATTTTCAAAACAAGTTTTCATTTTCTTTTTTCTCCCCACCACTTCGGGCCACCACCTACTGCTGGGCAGCTTGCTGCTAGAGAGCTCCAGCAACCTTTCAGTGACTCTACAGAGACCACTCGATCACCACCGTGACCTCCGGCAACCTTTCGGTGGCCCTCTAGCCACCCCGTGACCTTTGGCCACACTCCAGCCAACAAGCCCGGCCACTCCCCACCACCAGGCACCACATCCATTCACCCTCCACCATCGGCCACCACCTCCGGCAACTCACCAAACATGTTTCTCTATTTTGTTTTTATTTGTATTCAAAACAGTTTTGTATACCAAACAAGTTTTTTTGTTTTTCTTTCTTACCCCCCAAAAAAAAAAAGAAAGAAAAATTTTGTAAATAAAAAACAGGAAAATGACAACATTAACAAATGACTCCAATATTTCATTTTCATTCTTTAGGAGCTTCTTGCCCATAATGGAATTCATTTTCAGGTCTTCGCAAATGTTTGTTAGGACCTAAATTATTTTGTATCACAACAAAAACATCACAACATCATATATGTAGGATATGGCACCACGGATAATAACATGGTAATTATTTGTCTTCTTGCTTTGTTGTAATGCCTACTCTGTCTCTCTCTCGCTCACACACACACACGCACACACAAACAATTGCTTGGTGACACTCAATGGTGTCACGGTTCATATTTCACTTAAATGCCTGATTGATGTGGTATAAAACACTACCCAGACAGTGTTCCCTACTTTATTAATAATAGCTGTTTGGAATTGTCTTTGTTTATTCTCCTCTTTACTTCCATATAAGAATTGTTAAGAGTAACTTTTGATTATCAGCTTGTGCATGTAGGGATCTATCATACAACAGCGGTTTGATAGGATCTCTTCCTCAATCAATTGGAAATTTGACTAAGTTATCAAACCTGTAAGAAATTTATTCATTGTTGTTATACTCTGCTTAATCTGTTGATTACTAAGGTCAGTACCCTGTTACAAACCAATTACATCTCCTTGCTTCTCAGGATCCTGGTTAGTTGCGGTTTCAGTGGTCCAATTCCAGAGACAATAGGATCTCTGCAGCAACTGAGCATTTTGTAAGGATTTGGACTTTGTTATTTCTGTTTACTGTGAGAATCAATATGTGTGAAAGCTTAATATGGAAGTATCAGCAATTATTAGGCTCACATTCCTTGTGACATGATTCCATTCTTTGACATAATGATGGAATGACAGAAATATAAATTAACTTGGTATAAGTTCAAGGTATCAGATAAATTGTTTTGTCCATGGTTGTTAAAATTTTACAATTCATGATTTCATTCGTGTAGTTGAATCTTAAATTGAGTAAATCTTACGATTCAATTGTGATTCACTGCTATTCAAGCGATTCAGTTCTGCTTGCATAATGCATGAAACGACATCGTTTGCACAAAATAAAAAAAGAGATCAACTAATTATATTGATATATATGATTTTACATGTATATACATATATACTATTTAGTTATGTTGATATTTATTTCATTTTAAACACTATATGTGTATGCATATCTAAAATTATATATTATGCTAAATAAAGTGAATCTTACAATTCGCGATTCACTATTTTAGCAAAACATTCACGATTCGATTCGCGATTTGACAACAATGCTCTCAAGTGATTGACATGATCAGTAAAATGAGATGGACATTAACTACAGTCTACAACCTTTTACATACTTTTGACACAATGATTGACTGCTCTTTACGTAATTTGATCTTAAATATTTCATTTACAAAATTTTCGATTGATAATTTGATAGTATTGCAAACTGTTATATTCCTTTCCACAAATTATTTAGGTCATATGTATTATTTGGGCTTCCTATAAAATCCTAATAATTGCACCTTTCAAGGACAAATGCTCCCACCCTCTGACTTCTCTAGGTGAACCTACTTACTCCCTCGTTATGCTTTTAAAAGATGAGAAAAATTTGAGATTGGAACCATTTTTTGGTCCTTTAAATCTTGCATGCCTTGGCCTATATTTCAATTATTTCATTATGTATTCTACAGGTCTCTGACTTCCAACAACTTCAGTGGACCAATTCCACCTTCAATTGGTAATCTCTCTAATCTTTATTGGCTGGATCTGAGTGTCAATAAGCTTTCTGGAACTATCCCTGTCTCACCTGGTCTGGATATGCTGGTTAATGCGAAACACTTGTATGTCTAATCTCTCTGTCTCTCTGTCTGTCTCTAGCTCTCTCTCTCTCTCTCTCTCTCTTTGTATTTAAGCTAACTAGTTTGATCAATTTGTTGTTTATTTTCATACACTAATGAACTGAGATTCTTTATACTATTCACAGTCATTGTGGAAGCAATCAGTTCTCTGGTGAAATCCCATCTCAACTTTTCAATGCAAATATGTCTCTGATACATGTGTGAGTTCCTTTGAACCAGCTACTTATTCATGAGTCTCTGGTATGCACTTGAATGACAGAACAATAGGTTATGCATATATGCAGTTTGCTTACCCATATGGCAAGTATAAGCAACAAGCTTTCATGGTGAAAAGGAGAACGACTTATGTTATGAGCATAATATGATGAGTCTCCCTCTCAATTTTGCTTACCCTTATGGCAAGTATAACTGTTGAGGGCTTGTTGTTGGAAATCATCCTTTGATATGGGCAGACCTTTCGCCCCTTGATGTGGCTTCGTAGTGCCGAGCTTCAAATCTTAATCTGGGATTTTTTTTCTCTTTCTTCCCAAATATATATATATATATATATATTTCAAAGAGAGAAATGGGGCCCTTTTTTATTTTTTATTTTTTATTAATAAGATGAGGAATGTTGGATTTAAATTTCTTGGCAGCCCGTTTCTCTCAATCTGGGTACTAATTTAAATGTCATCTTGTGAATTAATTTGAGCAGGCTTTTTGATCACAACAAACTCAGTGGCAAGATTCCTTCAACGCTAGGACTAGTGAAGACTTTGGAGATATTGTGAGTATCTCTATCTTATACCCAATCAAAATCATAATAAGATGCTGGCTATTAACACCCATTAAATTTTTGATTTTGAGTATATAGTGTTGGCAACGGATGCCTGGATAGGAACTCATTGGTGGACCTATCCCATTGAACTTCAACACCTTGTACATTTAATGAGCTGTAGGCAGACAAAAAGAAAAACTTTTTCATTTTAAGATTAGTTTAAAAAAAAAAAAAAAAAAAAAAATTCTATACTTGTTTCCTAGAAGTTGGATTATTCTGCGTTAGGTTTTCAGCTTTACAGCCTTTACTATGAGAGGCTTTTGATTTTTCACTTTCAGGTTCTTGTCAAACAATCAACTGACTGGCCCCTTTCCTGATCTTACTGGCTTGAATTCCCTCAACCACGTGTAAGTAGTAACAATCTGGCTTAGGAAAAAATGCCATCGTGGTTTTCAGGCATTTTATTAATGGATGTCTTGTTAATTCCTTGTTTTCCTCCTTATCATCTTGTTTTCATAATTATGTTCAATACATGCTACATTGACCAAAATATTACTTGCAGGGATTTAAGCAATAATACTATTGACAAGACAGATTTCCCTCCATGGGTTGAAACCTTACGGTCTTTGGAAACATTGTACGTCTCTCTCTCTCTCTCAACAAACACACATGCAACTTGAAATATCTCATTCCTTTCTGGTGTTTCCTTGGTCTTTGCTGCAGACAACTGAAACATTGCAGTCAATTATCATTTAATGTTCTCAATTTTGGATGAATGAAATTGTTTCTGTTAAAGCATCCAGCTCTAAACCAATTGGCAATGAGTATAGGGGCCTCTCAAGTATGTTAACTAAGCTTGGGTGGTTTAGAGAGAGATGATGTGTGATAAGTCTAACACTTCCCTGCTCATGCAACCCGGATAGCATGTGGAGGTGACAGAGAGATGAGAGGGGAGAGATTAGACTTTGGGCCGAGACTTGACCCACCAAAGACCACCCAAGACTCATCTCAGATACCATGTTAAAGCGTCCAACTCAAAATTAATTGGCAATGAATGGAGGGGTCTCTCAAGTATATTAACCAAGCTTGGGTGGTTTAGAGAGACAATGTGGGATAAGTTTAACAATTTCAATCAATCTTTTGTTCTCTACCACTCATTCGTCGAAGCACATTGCATTTTAGCTAAAAAAATTACAGAAAATGTGCTTCAAATAGCCTACATTATTGTTAAGTCAACAATTTTCCCAAAAGCCTAAGCTTTTAGGAAATGGTCTCATCCTCTCTCATGTGCAACCCCGTCTTGCACATAGAGAGACAAGCAAAGAACCAAACAAAAGGAGAAGCAAACAGCCAAACAAAGAGGAAGAAACCAAATGGGGACATAATACCAAATGCTAACAGAGAAACTTGAACCCAAAACCTCTCTCAACTAGAGCTCTGATACCATGTTAATTCACCAATTTTCTCAAAAACCTAAGTTGCTAGGAAATGGGCGCAACAATGTATATCAAGCTATCTAACAATTATATAACCATAATGCATGGCTACCCCGATAACCTTATAACCTTCTAATTTAGTTTTATATGCATATGTTGAATACAATAGAGAATATGAAGAACATTTGTCTTTTGATTTACTCCAAGTTGCACAACATCCTCTTAAAAGAAATAAAGGCAAGTAGAACATGGGTTGAGGTGTTATGAAAGGATGATTTTCATAAACTTAACTGATGATATCACTTCAAATGGAGCCAACTAGTGGAAATTAATTCATGTTGCTAACCCCAGTAATTGGAACAACAGCTTGTTGAGTTAAGCTGGAGTCAGTATGACTTCTGACAAGACTTAGGATAACTCAATATTGTACATAGAAATAATTTCAAGTATTTATTATTTTCTTCTGTTTACTTCACTTATTTTCGTTGTTGATGTCAGCTTCCTAAAAGTTAAAATTGATGTAGACGTTACTCTTTCAATTTTGTGCTTGCAATTTTCCAAACAGCTTGTCAGCTAAAATGAGAAGTTTCAATGCAGTACAATTATGTTTCCGCTAACATTGCACTTGCAGAATGATGGAAGACACAGGACTTCAAGGTCAAATTCCAGATGCCTTTTTCAGCCTTCCACTGTTAATAAAAGTGTGAGTATCAGTTTAATCTCGTATACTGCATTTCATATAATCATCTAGAATACAAAGTAATAAACCAAAAAAAATTGGAACCTCCATGGGTTCTAATATGATTGATTCTAGTTGTTTATCTTATGTCATGCCCATTATAATCAAAGCAAATTTGTTTTGGCATGCCATGTCAGTGTATTGAGGAACAACAAGCTTAATGGCACTTTGGTTGTCAACTCCGACAGTAGCGACCACCTGCAACTTATAGATTTGCAGAACAATTACATAACTGACTATATGGTGGGAAAGCGATTTAACTCTGAGTTAATGTAAGTAGTAAGACTGTTTTGGCTATTCCATCAGTAAGATGGTGTTAGAGAACTAAAACTAGTTCCATTTCTGGACATGCAATCTATTTACTGTTCTTTGGTTTATCATTCTATAACCTCATTGGTGTACTTTTCTGTTATTTTCTGTAGACTTGTAGGAAATCCAGTTTGCGAGGGCGCACAAGGGACAGAACCATACTGCATCATTCAACAGTCAAATTCCTCATATTCAACAGAACCAAAGACTTGTATGCAAGTTACATGCAAGTCACATCAAATATCCAGCCCCAACTGTAGATGTGCTTATCCATATACGGGTTTGCTAATTCTCGGAGCTCCTTCCTTTAACGTTAGAAACTCAAATATCTACACATCTCTCGAGAATTATCTGATGCGTTCTTTTCAGTCCTATCAACTCCCTGTGGATTCAGTTTCTCTGAGTAAAAATCCAGATGATTCCCTCATCATTCTAAGCTTAGAAGTTTTTCCATATGGCGTAGAGCATTTTGATCGAACTGGAATTTCTGGGATTGCGTTTGTGCTGTCCAACATGACTTTCCATCCTATGAAGCCTTTAGGGCCCTTGTTTTTCATTGCAGACCCATATTCATATTTTGCAGGTATAAAGTATATATATACATGTGATTTCCCATTCTAATCTCCCTCTCTCTCTCTCTCTCTCTCTCTCTCTCATGTAAAAGAATCTACAGGAACTAAGAAGTCATCAAGTGCTGGCATTATCGGAGTGGCAGTTGGTTGTTCTTTGCTTGTGTTATTGTGTCTCCTTGCAGGAATTTATGCATTACATCAAAAGAGAAGAGCTGAAATTTCTGATATGCAGAACAATCCTTTTGGTAAAATTACGAGTTAATCTTGACAATGTATTTCCTGGTAATCATGTCTTATCTTGGGTGTTGGTTATAGCTTCGATGTCATACCAATGCAGCTTCTTGGTGCCGAAATGAAAGCAATTTTGGTGCTCCTCAATTAAAAGGAGCTAGGTGTTTCTCATTTGAAGAGCTTAAGAAATACACAAACACTTTCTCAGATGCCAACTGTATTGGAGTTGGTGGCTACGGAAAGGTTAACTTCTGTATTCTTATAGCTAGAGAATAGATTGTTGAAAGGTTAATTGTTACATTCTTTTTGCTAGAGAATAGATTGTTTGTGATTCTTTTCTCTTCTTGGTTCAACATAGCTCATATATTACTAGTTTCCATATTTACAGACTGAGTTTTGGACCTTTCAACTGTGACAGAAGTCTCTGAACTTTTTTTAAGAGTACAATTACAAGCAGATTTTTTTTTGAAATGAGAAGTTGGTGACTGATCTTTGAAATTGTATGAACTATTTCCGGAATATCATTGATAAATTTAGTAATTATTAAACTTTTGTGTGCTTGCAAACTCGTTTTGAAAATTCCTAGAAAACAACCCTATGTTTTTTCTTTCCAATAAATATTGATTTAGTTTAAATTTGGAGCATTGTTCCTCATTTTTTTTAAATCTTTTTTCTTCAACATGTTTCTTATCCATCCTAGAATATTTTTGCAATGTATTTCTTTGTGCTGTGCAACTTGCATATTAACAGTTCTTTGTTTTATTTACAGGTATATAGAGGAACTCTTCCCACTGAGCAACTGGTTGCCATCAAAAGGGCTAAACAAGGATCTACACAGGGTGATCTTGAATTTAAAAGTGAGCTTGAGCTTCTATCCAGGGTTCATCATAAGAATGTTGTGAGCCTTGTGGGTTTCTGTTTTGAGCAAGACGAACAAATGTTGGTGTATGAGTATATTGCAAATGGTACACTGAAGGAGTCTCTTTCAGGTACTTGACACTTATTTCCTATTCCACCACCAATATGGATATTGATACTTGTTCTTTAGTTGCTTACTTTATAATGATATATATAGTGGCAATTTTTAACATGTACGCATTCTTGTTCGTCGTAACTATTTGTTCAAGCAAATACCTTGCCTGATTTGAATGTAGCTGAAAATAAGTAAAGAAATCAAGAAAGTAAAATGCATTTTACCTTCCTGCTGTCACTAATTACATCCACATTAACAAAAACTGTGTCGCAATTGGAAGTTGCATGAAAAAAATAAGATGTCAATCAAATTTTATTACAAAAAGACAGTTTTTCCATTCATAATCTTCTTCCCCAATTGAAAATCCTAACTTAAAAATCCTAATATTAACTCAACCACCCCCTGCCACCACTACCTCTTTCTCCACCACCACCACCTCCATAGTCTGCAATTCCTACCACCCCACCACCACCGACTTGACTTGCCTTCCCTCCACCTCCCCACCTCCACCCACCTGCTTTGCCAGTCACCTACCACCATCCCTGCCGCCTCTACCACCTGTCTCGCCTCCTTCCTGTTGCCCCATGACCCCTCTTTCCACCTCATACTTCCCTTCTGATTGTATCTATGGGTGTGTTGTTGAATCAATGCAAGATTTAAAAAATAAAAAATAAAATAAATAAATAAAACAAAAAAGATCGATGCAAAACACATGGTGGGTTTGTTGGCAAGGTCATGTAGAACAGATCTATGGTGAATTGGGTGGGTTGATGTGCCGAGGCAGTGCACAAGTGGGTTATGACATTGTAGTACATATACATATGCACTAAGAAGCACGAACACTTCTAAGAAGATGACGTATCCGTGTCGGACACTAACACTCTTTGGACACTTTCTGGGCACGTTTCCGACACTCATCAAAACGTGTCCTATTTTTTAAAAACCCGGATAATCTTTGGACACACACAAATGTCTATCGCTTAAACACACATGTCTATTGAGTAGACATTGGTAAAACTAATTGTAAGTTTGAACAAAACAGCTTAAGATACAATAACAAAATAAAAATTATATATATTTATAGAAATTAGTGTCATATTGCATTTTTTTTTATTATCTTTGAATAATATATTCATATATATAACATATAATAAATATGTAAAATTATATATTTTATGCGTATCCCCCACGTGTCGTGTCTTGCATTTTTTAAAAATTGGTGTGTCTGTGTCATGTCGCGTGTCCATGTCCATGCTTTGTAGCATATGCATATACTTATATACATATGTCAGTGTGTAATTTAATATGTGATTATATATGGATTAAAAATTAAATTAGCAATTAAGTAAAAGCAAGAAAATTTGTGTTAATATGCAGTTTGATTTATGCTAATATGGTTTGATTTGTTTAAAATGTGATTCAAGTTAGATAAGGGTGAAAGAGAAGATAAGTAAAAGAAAACAATGAGGGCATAAGGTCATCCTGTACATTCTGTTAACAAAGTTAACTTTGCATTTTAGTCCAAAATCTCGTGAGAGTTATTTGCATATATTTAAATGTTAGAGAGGTAAAGTTCTCTGGGGTTAAAACCACAAGAGGGTAAAGTAGAAAAAAAATGTTTCTGTAGTTTTATCTTTCTCTAACCTCAGTCAAAACTTGAATGTTTCACATATCTCCTCTAGCCAAAAGAATAGGAAAAAAGTATAATAAAAAAAGGGATCTCCAGAGTTTGTAAACTGCACTACCAGAGCTATGTTTTTAGGCAATACATGTATTTGACTAAACAGTAACAATTAAAGTGCATATTACCTATGCAGGGAAATCTGGAATCAGGCTGGATTGGATGAGGAGACTTCGAATAGCCCTTGGAGCAGCAAGAGGTTTGCAATATCTACATGAGCTTGCCAACCCTCCAATCATACATAGGGACATCAAATCAAACAATATCTTACTAGATGAATACTTGAATGCAAAAGTTTCTGATTTTGGTCTCGCCAAGAGTATTGGTGACCCCGAAAACTGTCATATTACCACTCAAATCAAGGGGACAATGGTCAGTAAATTTTCCTCTGAACCCTGGTTTTGAAATATCAGCAAACTACTATAAATTAGAAGTTGGTTAAAGTATTTACAAAGCATCTTATTCATAGTTAAAATCTATTTGTTCTTGAAGTTCTCAGTTCTCAGTTATGAGAAAAGTTCTCATGAAACTGGTGTCAAGTATTCATAGACCTCCATTGCTAAAAGAACCAAATCAAATAAATAAAACCCTCTATTTTGTTTTGATGAGAAGATAATTAAAACAGGTTGTGTAATTTTTTCCCCATTATATTATGGGTGGTAGCTGGTTGAGGTAGAAAAAAATAAAAATAAAAAAAAGAAGAAATTGCATGGGATGGTATAAACCAAACCAAACAAAGCCTTAAGTCCCATCAAATGAGATCGGCTGCATGAATCCTTCTTCTCCACTCAACTCTATCCATCCAAGGCCATTTTGTTAGTCAAATTAAGAAGATTCATACTCCCTCCGTCCCATAATATTAGTCCCTTATTCCATTTTTCATTGTCCTAAAATATTAATCCCTCTTCAAAAATTAAGTACAAAAATAATATAAATTTCCTATTTTGCCCTTCTTTTAAATTCATAAATAATATAAAAAGTACAATTATGACATTGATATTCTCAAAAAAATGTACTATGAAAGGGTAATTTTTGAAAATCAACTTTTTTAAAGTACAATAATTGTACTACCAAAAAAAATTGGATTCCCCAAAAGGGACCATTATTTTGGGACGGAGGGAGTATTTCTATTTACTGCACTAGTCCACGTCAATCTAGGTCTAAGGCTACCCCTTCCCCTAACACTACCATCTACCGTCACTGTATTGCATCTCTTACCGCATGGAATGGTATCTTGAAGAAAAACAGCTGTAGGACAATAGAGAATGGGGATTTTTCTCATTATGAAATGACACTTTGGTAGCAATGTTTTGAAAACCGGACCGGTGAGCGAACCGGAAAAGGGACCGGGTGGACGGGTCACCGGTTCAACCGTCGGGTCAAAGCGGTCGAACCGTGACGTCATAATTAATATTATATAATTAAAAAATATACTTAAAAATTATAAATAAATAAAAATATATATAAATACTCAAATAAAAATAAAAATTGTTGTATAATATTTATTAATAATATTTAATAAAGTCATAATTGATAAAAAAAATCACTTGTTTTAAAGAAATTAAATTTTTTAAGCATTCCCTCCAAACAAATTGATTGAATGTTAGGTTTAATTTTGGAGGAAAATGAAATTTTCAGCTCTCCTTCCAATCAATATGTTTCAAATAATTTGATTGAATCCGACATAGAATTTTGTGGGTTCTTTTTGAAAAATCTTTTCCTATAAATAGGAATAGACTTTCATAATTTTCTTCAACTTCCAATGAGACTCTTCTTCATGAGAGGAGACTCTTGAAGGAAGAATTTTTTGTCAAAATTTTAAAATATATTTATAATATATATATATATATATATAAATATATAAGAAAGAAAGAAAAGAAAGAAAGAAAATAAAAAAAAAGGAAAAAATCACCGGTCCAACCCACCAGACCCGGTCCGGGTCATTGGTTTTCCCGGTTCAACCTCCCGGTTTTCCATTTCTGGGCCGGTTTTCTTCCTACTCCGGTTCTAGAGGGTTGACCGGACTGGAACTAGGCCCGGTTCCCGGTCCAACCGGTTCGACCAGCCGGTCCGGTCCGGGTTTCACAACATTGTTTGGTAGGTCTTCAAGGCAAAAAAATATTGCTCAGTATGACTTGAAAATTTGTACATACATATATATATATATATATATATTTTTAACTATCAGTAATCCTATTTCGGGCAAGGTTGTAGAGATCCAATAAATTTTATAAGGCCTACCTAGTACCTGCTATCTACATGCTACTGGTGTGTGGGATGTCTCTTTATTTATTTATTTTGTTGGATCATGTGATGTCTCATTCATTGTCAAAAAGGATGCACACCATTTTATCTTTGCTGAAAAGAATATCTTAAACAAATTTATGTAGTGAACCACGGAGGTAATATTTTGAGTTCTTTGAAGAAGCTTGATATTGCTTAGTATTTTCGACTAAAAGCAGGATTTTTTATTGGTGTAGGGCTACTTGGATCCTGAATATTGCATGACCCAGCAGTTGACTGAGAAGAGTGACGTTTATGGCTTTGGAGTGCTAATGATTGAGCTGATAACTGCGAAACAGCCGATAGAGAAAGGCAAATACATTGTAAGAGAGGTGAGGCTGAAAATAGACAAGTCAAAGGATCTGTACGATCTTCATGAGATTATCGATCCAAACATTTTGGGCACCGCACTGAAAGGTTTAGAGAAATTTGTGGATTTGGCAATGAGGTGTGTCGAAGAAGGAGCTGCGAGGCCTACAATGGGTGAGGTGGTAAAAGAGATTGAGAACATCATGCAAATTGCCGGTTGGAACCCTAATGCTGACTCAGTGTCCACTTCAGTCTGTTATGAAGAGACTAGCAACCATCCTTACATCGAAGAAAGCCTCATTATGTATAGCAGGACCTTGGCACGTTAAATGTTAGTTCCCTGGTAAGTATTATTAAACATTTTCGTGTAGAACATGTGATGAATTCTTGGCTTTTCTTTCTTTTGTTGGACAGTCCTAGGTGTGTTGCTTGTCTGGTAGACTATGAAGAAAGGAAGAGAGAAGTGAAACGAAATCAAAATATTGATGCACATATTGTGTGTATATTAGGCTAAGTCTTGTAATTTTTCCATAAATAAGCTACTATTTTCTATTCCAAGTAATCATCCCTCAATTTTCTGTTGTATTGAGAAAAGAAAATGTGATTTACTGATTCATTTCTGATGAAAATTCTATATATGCAACAATTAGTAGATTTCAAGGGAGGCATGGATTCTCACCCATGTCCTTGGTTGTAAGTTTCTTGGGAATGTTTGTTAGTTTACATGATGACAATATTGGTGTTTCTTACTATGGATATGGTTATAAATTATGTGTCCTTATCATAGATTTAGTTTGTTGGTTTGCAAGGAAATTCTATAATAATGGGTGTACCCTATGCCCAAGTCATATGACTTTTGTGATATTTGGTTATGACTCATTATGTGTTGATTATGACTTAATTATAACTCATTATAATATTAATGAACTCATTATAGTTTTAATTATGACTAGTTATGATCTATTGTGATTATTATTTTTATTACACCTTAAGTGATGTTTGGTTATGATCTTTTGTGGTGTTATTTACGACTTGATTATGATACGTTATGGTGTTAGTTACAATTCAGTTATAATTTATTGTGGTTTTAATTTTGGTTATGACCGAATATGTTTTAGTTATGCCTAAAGGATGTTTGATTATGATTCATTACATTATGACAGAAAGACATTTGGTTATGATACATTGTGGTATTAGCAACATAAAATATCATAACTTGCACATAATACATCTCTTCTTGAGGAGTATGTATTATAACATTACCATGGCCGCATGTTTATTATATTTATAAATAGCATAATGTGTATATATATATATATATCGTTGTAAATTATGTATCATTATTATAGATCAAGTTCGTAGGATGGGCAAAAAAACTCATTTGCATGTTTGTGTTCAATAAATTATACTTACGGTGGAAGAGCCTAACTTTGTCCCACCAACAACAAAGTACAAACCAGTACACCAAAATATTTTTAATTTATTTTAAACTTTCAAATCTCGTATTGTTTGATGTAAATGTTGGTTTCAAATAAATAAAACATATTGAAATTTTACTGTCCAAATTAAGAAATCTAAAAATAACAATAATTAAGATTAACATAGTACAGTACAATTTTACAGGTAATATTTTCAAAACAACAATGATTCATCCCCCTTTTTCCCCTCACCCTCTTTGACCCCCTCTCTCTCTCATTGGTTTCCTTTTTTTTTTTTTTTTTCTTTTTTTTCCTGCTCCTCCAATCACCACCCGTCATGTGGCAAAGGGGGGTGAGGGGGTGACCCCAAAAGGGGGTCCCAAGCATTATTCTTTTCAAAAAGTGACATTTCACAACCACCACTACACTCACAATCATCATTATTGTTACCAAGCAAAATTTATGAAAATAGTGAAACACTAAAATTTCACATTAAACTGGGACACGATATGGTCTGGCTTTCTCAGAGACTATTGAGTGGCAAAACTCTACTACCATTTACTTCAAACTCCACATCAGCTTCTCTTTCGCATTCTGCGTATGATTCTCTGTTGTAATTATTTAGGGACAAGACTAAGACTAAGGAGGGACAAGACAGTCTTATTAATTTGAGACACGTGACTTACTATTTAGGGCAAGACAGTCTTATTAGTTTAATTTGGTTTGGTGTAAAAATTAATTTTCAAAATTTAAAAATTATTTTAACATCATACATATGATTCATAATAGAAACCATCCTAACATTTAAATCAATAAAATCTCAAGCTATAAGAAACGAACATAAAATTGAAAAATGCTAACGAAGTATATAATAAAAGGAAGAGAAAGTATCATTTCGCTCTCCAAACTTTCACGCATTTTTCAATTTGACCCTCAGACTTCGATTAATATCAATTTTATACCCAAACTTTCGAAATTTTGACCAATTTGGCTCTTGCCGTCACATTTTGTCAACAATTGGACGGAATATGCTGACGTGGGGGCAAATTGATTTTTAAGGTATAGTTTGGGGGACAAATTAATTTTTAATTTGGGAGGCAAATTGATTTTAAAGGTATAGTTTGAGGAGTAAAATAAATTTTCCATTGAATTTTGATACCACGTCAATACATTCCATCAATTGTAGACGGAATGTGACAACAAGAGTCAAATTGATCAAAGTTTCGAAAGTTCAGGTGTAAAATTGATATTAATCAAAGTTTGGGGGTTAAATTGAAAAATGCATGAAAGTTTGGGAGGTAAAATGATATTTCCTTTTAAAGGAATTGCTTTCTTAAATTTATTTGTAAAGCGAATAAATAATAAATTTGATGTGCTTGATCTATCAATAGTGTCAAATTTATTTTTTTTAAAAAAGAAATAATAAAAAGGACATATATATAATTGAGAAAATTGTTGAAAATTCCAATTTAAGGAGAATATAAGGCATTAGGTCTCATGAGTATTTTTCTTTGGTGAAAAATTCGCCCATGGGAGCAATGTTATGACCGAGTCGTTCCTACCAGAACATGGGACCTCCAAGAGCTCTGTCTCCTTGACGCCCTTCAACAATCAAGGTTCACTATTCCAGAAGATCTTTTCCTAATACATGCTGCACTTCAGTTTTGGAATTCAGCCTTTAATTTTTTTCAATTTCGGTGTGGCATGATGGTCCCCATTGTTCTTGACATGTGCCATCTCTTAGGGTTATCACCCATTGGTACCCCGTTCGGTCCCGACTATCCTGACCTTAAGATTTCTTTCTCCATTCCGCCTTTGAACTCTTCCTTCCATGATTTTGTAAGTTCTGAGAATAAAAAGGAAGGCTCTATGATCGATCGAGAGTTCTTTTCTTTTATCTTCTATTGGCTCTGCAAATTTCTTTTCTGTATCTCTTCTTAGAGGATTATGCCTGAATTTGCCCCTCTTGCCAAGGCTCTTGCTTTGAAGAAGAAGATAACATTGGCTCCTTATGTCTTAGGCCATGTCTATAGAGTTTGTTCCCAATTTTGTGAGAGGCCCACGGATGTTAACCAATGAGGCCCATTCTGGGTACTCCAACTCTATTTTTTGCATATTTCACAGACTTCCCCAAGTGTTTGAAATTCTTGATGTAAGGCCCTACCACTTATAGAGTGAAATATGCTAAAGTTTCCCTCTATCCCTCTAGTTTTTCCTTCTACTTTTCTTTTTTCCATCAACTCCCAACTTCCCATCTCTCTACTTTTTTTGGCAGACACCAACTGCTCCAGGCCTATTCATAAAGACATGTGGGCATCACTTCTTGTTCCAAGGGAGATCTATATTGGCATTTTTTCCCCTCGATCTTACAAGTGCATTTCTGAGGCCTATTGTCTTGCTTAATTTTCCAGACAGTTTGGCTTACCAAGGGAATCCCTGCCCCCCTCTGCAGACGTTTGAATTCAGATCTCGCGACTAGAGAGTTGAAAGGGCCAAAATCTAGGTTGGATAAAGTAATCCTCAATCTGGTAAAAGACTTGACTGATTTTGAATTCATACCCTTCATCCATCATGGCAGAGCTCTGAAAAGGCTTCAGGATTGATGGACAGCCAATATGGAAGTGCACCTGGCCATTTCTCAAACCTAAACAGTGGCATCCCTTCCTTCTCCGCTCACATTTTTTCACTCCGGCGGTTTTTCAGATTCGCACTTGTTCGGAGGGCTTCTAAACCCTTTTGAACAGTGACCTTATTGCCTATAAATTTAAGTCTTCTCCAACCAATTCTCTCATTCGTTTTTTCCTCAATTTTTCTGTATTACTCTTTTATATATTATTCTTATATTTTTTTGTAAAAGAGAGATATAATTCGACTTATTCGCCAGACCCAGATTATATTGGAACAATCTTCTGTGTAAAATAAATAACTTGAAACAAATCAAACAAATAAAAATAAATTACTTACATAATTTATTTTACCGAAATGTAAAAGTACAAAAAGATCAAGCCGAGTGTGTGACACTCTGTCCTTAAGACAAATTCGCCTCGCTACAGTGCTTATGAATAAAAGGCGTCTGTCTCCCAGGATACAATAATCTTCACAAATTGTGGTAGCATTCCAAACAATTTGTACGGCGAACCAAACCTGTGTTTTATACTCTCTTAATATTTTCCTAAAAAATAATATGAAGAATAATGCAACTAAAAAGCAAAATCGGGAAGAACAGAATATTTTAGAATATTTTTCAAGATGGTTTCAGATTGTTTTTCGATCCAAAGATTGCTGGAAATGGCCTCTATTTATAGGCAAAAAGTTGACCAACGGATCTTCCCAAACAGGTGGGTTTTTGAATGAACAAGTGCAACAAATATAATTCAAATTTGGAACAAATAACTACTTCCAACTGCAACAGATCTGCTGGCAGTTTTGGACAAATAACTGCTGGGCAGATTGGATTTGTCCGAGTAGTTTTAAACTTGTAAAACAGTTCGAAACTGTTCAAAAATTTGAATCTGTTGTGGAATTCAGAAGATGCACAAATTTTGGACAAAATTTATTTGAATTTTTTCAAATTCTTGTAGGAAATTATTTGAATTTGAATTTAAATTGTCCAACAATCTCCTACATGAATGGAATTTGATGGAAAGAAAATGCAACAACATGATCTAACTACAAAGAGTACAGAAATTAGAAATATTCTGCAATGGATATGTAGCTTTTGGCTTTGAACCTTCCCTTGTGAGAGACTATTGAATTTACTAGCTAATCAGTGAACATGATGTCTTGAATTGTTCAACCATTTGTGTAAACCAAGACAATAGAACTCATACAGTATATTACCAGACACAGTTTAGTTCTTACTATTGTGTTCATTTTGGCCCTAAACAACCTGGTCTTTCATGAGTGCTCTAAAGACTTGTAGTCCTTCACAAATCTCATAGAACTGACCTAGTTCACACTTATATAGGTGATTCTTATGAAAAATATCCTGCCATACTCCACTAGGTATACCTAGATATAAGAATCATTAAAAATTATTATTTAACCTAAAACACTGTAGACATCACTATTTCATCATAGAAATAGGTAGGATTATGACTCCCTAATGATCCTTCTGATTCATACACAACTTAGTTGTCTCTTTGAACCTAGATCTTGGGATCTCCAGTCAACTAAGTTGGGTTGCCGTTGTGGTAACTCTTATTTAATAGGCGTAAGTCTCATTCCCCTCGATGA